GAATTATGGCACATGAGATTGAGTCATGTCAGCGAAAAAGGTCTGGTCGAATTGGGGAAGCAGAACCTGCTAGGAGGTGACAAAGTCGAAAAGTTGGAGCTTTGTGAATCTTGTGTATTTGGTAAATCCTGTATGGAAAAGTTTAACAAAGGCAAGCAAAGAACACATGGATCCCTGGATTATATTCATGTTGATCTTTAAGGGCCTGCAAGAAACCTTCACACTCAGGTGCAAGGTATTTTCTATCCATCGTTGATGACTATTTCAGAAAGCTATAAGTATTCATTCAGAAGACAAAGGATGAAACTTTTGAGACTTTCAAAAGTTGGAAGATTCTGGTCGAAACTCAAACTGGCAAAAAGGTCAAGAGGTTGAGAACCGACAATGGCCTTGAATTCTGCAACAAAGCGTTCGACAGTTACTGTGTTGAGTATGGGATTGCAAGGCATACGACTGTAGTAGGTACTCCTCAACAAAATGGCTTAGCTGAGATATTCAATCAAACAATTCTTGAAAGGGTTAGATGCATGTTGGTTAGTTATGGATTGAAGAAGTTGTTTTTGGCAGAAGCTGTTTCGACAATAGCTTACTTGATAAATAGATGTCCCTCAACTGCCTTAGGAATGAAGACACCTGAAGAATTTTGGTCGGGACATCCACCAAGTCTCGACAGACTGAGAGTATTTGGTTGTGTGGCCTATGCTCATATTAGGCAAGACAAGGTCGAACCTAGAGCTCTGAAATGCATGTTTATGGGATACCCTAAATCAGTCAAAGCTTATAGGCTATGGTGCCTAGAGCCAGGTCACAAGAGGTGTGTCACCAGTCGAGATGTAGTTTTCAATAAAACATATATGGCTTTCAAGAAAACTGATGATGCTCATGAAGAGCTGGAACAGGGAGAGATTCCTGTTGAGGTGGAGCATGTTGATGCTGAATTGCGTACCCTAGATTAAGTCGAAGAAGATGTAGAAGATGTTGTCGAAGATGAGGAGACTGATAATGACTACCTTCTAGCAAGAGACAGTTCGAGGAGAGTCATCAAGCCACCTCAGAGACTTAGGTATGCAGATCTTATAGCTTATGCCTTAATCTCTGCATGTGAGGTTCTAGACGAAGAACCTAGAGACAATAAGGAAGTTATGAGGAGTCAAAAGAAAACTAAATGGCTGAAGGCCATGGATGATGAGATGAAATCTCTTCGTGATAACAACACCTGGGAACTGATCAAGAAACCTGCTGGAGCTAGGTTAGTCAGCTGTAAATGGATTTTCAAAGTTAAGGAAGGAATCGAAGGAGTGGCGTCGAAGAGATATAAGGCAAGATTGGTTTCTAGGGGGTTCACTCATAAAGAAGGTGTCTACTTCAATTATGTGTTCTCTCCTGTTGTAAAGCAGAAATCCATTTGAATGTTGCTTTTCACAGTGGCACAGTTCGACCTTGAACTAGAACAGATGGATGTGAAGATTGCATTCTTGTATGGTGATTTAGATGAAACAAACCTGATGAGACAACCTGAAGGGTATGTCGAAAAAGGGAAGGAAGATTATGTGTGCAAGCTTAACAGATCCTTATATGGACTGAAACAATCTCCACGACAGTGGAATAGGAGATTTGACAAGTACACAGCATGCATAAGTTTCACCAGAAGTTAGTTCGACCACTGTGTTTACTTCAAATTTCGACCGGGTAATTCATTTGTTATTTTATTGCTCTATATGGATGATATTCTAATAGCAAGCAACAATATCGAAGATGTAATGAGGGTTAAGGCTAAACTCAATAAGGAGTTCGACATGAAGGATCTGGGAGCTGCGTCCAGGATTCTTGGAATTGACATCCGAAGAGATAGAAAACAGTCAAAATTATGCTTATCTCAAGAGGCATACCTACAGAAGGTTCTCGAAAAGTTTGGTATGTCGAATTCAAAGCCTATTGTGACTCCGAAAAACCCTCAATTCAAGCTGAGTATAGATCAGTGTTCCAACACTGATGTTGAAAGAACTTATATGAATAGAATTTCATATGCTAATATAGTGGGTTCTTTGATGTATGTTATGGTCTGCACTAGACCCAACATAGCATATGCAGTAAGTCTTGTAAGCAGGTACATGGCGAATCCTGGAAAGGCTCACTGACAAGCATTAAAATGGATTCTAAGGTACATAAATGGATCTCTGAATAGAGTCCTAATTTATGGTCGAGCCTGGGGTGAAGATAGTAAAGCAGCAATCGAAGGATATGTCGACTCTGATTATGCAGGTTGTATGAATTCCAGAAAGTCTATTTCTGGATATATGTTCACTATGTTTAGGACAACGATCAGTTGGAAAGCAACACATCAGAAGGTCGTTGCCTTATCAACCACTGAAGCAGAATATATTGTCCTAACTGAAGTTGTGAAGGAAGCATTGTGGCTTGAAGGTTTTGGAAAGGAGCTAAAACTTCAAGGTCGAGTTATCACTGTTAAATGTGATAGTCAAAGTGGAATACACCTGTCGAAGAATTTAGCCTATCATGAGCAAACCAAGCACATTGATGTGAGGCTGCATTTCGTCGGAGGGGTAATCGAGCATGGAGAAGTCCAAGTGCTGAAGGTTTCGACAGATCATAATGCTGCTGATATGATCACCAAGATGTTGCCAAGTTGCAAGTTTTTCCACTGTATGCAGTTGATAAAGTTGTTATAGAGTTAGATCCAAGGTGAAGATTTGTGAGATATTGGATCAAACTCTAGTATTGTCGAAGGGTAGCTTTTGGTTCAACAGAAATTAAGCATGAGGTCGAAGTATGTTCGCATGTTGCTGTCGGAGTAATGTGTGTTGTAGTCGAAGTTTGTTCTAACATGCATTAGTCAATATTGCTAGGGTTGTTAGCATGTTGAACTGAGCCTTACTTGTAAGCTCAATTGTTTAAGTTAGTTTGTAATGGGTAATTCTTAAAAAGCCCATTAGGTTAGTGTGCTATTTTTCTTATAAATATGATGTTAGTTTCTCAATCTTGCCATAAGGAAAATTAGGAAAATAAAATCCTAATTTCAAGTGAGAGATTATTTTTGTTATTCTTTTATACTTGTAATCTTGTTCTAAGAGAAAGGAAAGAATAACGGTTTATAACCAATCCTTGATGTTCCTTGTCGTTTACCTTGTTTTCTTTGTTAACCCTAACCCTTGTGTGTTTCTTGATCAAGAAGAAATCGTTTATACTTTGTTTCAAAGTATCTAATTCACAACAAGTGCATGAGACATTTTTAGTGGAGAGAGAGAGAGAGAGAGAGAGAGAGAGAGAGAGAGAGAGAAATAAGACTTGTTATTATTGAATTAAGAGATAAAATTGAATTACAATATATATACATATATACAACTAAATAATTAACATAACAAATTCTAACCCTAACTAACTTGAGTTTGAGCTACTCAACTTTGATTATACTTTCAACTACATACATTTACTTGTTTAAAAATAAATGATTATTCTTGAAAAGTTTAATTTAAAATGAGGCAACCTAAGAACATTTGAATTGAAGGATGCAAAGATTTGAAATGAAAGGAAGAAAAAAATATGTATTTTAGAGAAAGTTTTTAGATTCTAGAATATGAAAGCTTCACAAATACATTATACATTCTAAAATCTATATAATATTTTTGTTTAAAAAAATATTTGAGAGACTTTAGGAGTTTTAGAAAAAAGATAATTAATTCGTAACTCATTTGACAACTTATATTGTGGTCGGCTGTTGAAAGATCGACTTAAAACCTTAGGCTTTGATGATGCATAAAAAGCGGGAAACCCGTGGCACCATGACGCCAGTGATGTGTTCATAATCCATGTGATTAGTGTCAAAACCATCGTTTTCTTCTACATCGACAACCGCAAATCAATTGGCACTGCCATAGCTGTTTCATTTTCAGTCTTATAGTATAAGTTAGCTAGCCACAGATTCATTTATTTATTTATAAAACAAAACTAGTTTTAATTATAAAAGAAAAGAACAAAACTGGCTTTATCGTAAGGCCAAAGTCACGTTAATGATATACATATTCACTCTTTTTTTCTCTTAGGAAATAATGATATATTAACATTATGATGATTGCTTAGTTCAGGATTGCATTTGGTGGTGACAATGCTCCTGCTTAGTTACTGTGTATTTAGATTAACTTTATGTCATATCTGATGTTGTTGTGCTTACTGCTTAGCTACGGTTTTTTTTTTTACAATCTTTAAGTACTGCTTAGCTTATCACATTTTATGAATTTTTTCCTCAAATAATTCAATTTTTTAAAACATATTTTAAAATATATTTCATTTTTTAAAAATATTTTTAAAGTACTCCCGTTAAGATTTGCGCTTACATAAATGCGTCATTTCAATTGGCGATCTTTTACTAAAGGTTTAAGGGTGTCGCCAATTGGATTGAAGACACCTCATGCAGTCTCCAATCCAATTGGCGACTTGGTTGTGTACTTAAAAGGGTATCGCTAATTCATCTGGAGATCTCTTAGAATTTGAATTTTTTTTCTATAAATACAGGTGTTCTGATCATTTACTTATACATCTCATTTGATATCTTTGTTCTACTAATAACATGTATCGCCACCGGTGGAAAAAAGTCGTCTATTCGAGAGAGAAGCCTCTGATGGACATGTTGTTTTAGAACATACAAAGTTTCAATCAACTTAAGAGGGAGTTGAATCGGTGGTTGGAAGAAGACATTGGTAAAGGGGGAAAAATCTGTAGTATCGAGAGACTTGATCGGCTGCGTTGATGGGTTCGTGTTAAGACCAACAAAGATGCGAGGGAAGTCATGTTTGGACCGAATGAAATTAGTTTGATTGTTGTAATTAGTTAGGAATGTTGTAATCACATAGTTAATGTTTTATGTTTTATGAAATTAGCATGTGTTGTGTGTTGTTAGTGTTGTTTGTTGTTAAGACCGTTGTAACAAAGACTCATCAATATATGGAAATATTTGGTTACAACAAATGAAACGATAAGCTAAATCATGAAGCAGATGTGCCTCCGACATTGGAATAATTTTTTTGGTTGTATTCGGGTTGACGACATATACTGCACAATCTTATCATTTTATCAGTCGTACCCATTTCGGTTCTTATACGCTTGCTGTTTGGGTGTCTCTTTTTATTTCTTCTCATGTCATCGTTGTGCCAAACTATATCACCTTGGTATGGAGGCCAATAATCCTCCATTGGTAGCACTGTGAAGCCTTCGTTGTATACGCTCATAATATTAATCGCCTTATAAACATCAGATAGATAGCCATAAGCATCCTGACGAGCATGTGCGCATGCTGCAATGACATGTGAGCAAGGTACACGGAAGGCCTGGTACTTGACACAGTCACACCAACATCTGTTTAGTCTGACAACATAGGATAAATCGGGCTTCCCCTCATTATGGTCCATTGTTTTTTGTACACAGAATGTTTGTCTATGACGGTCGAACACTGTAACTGCATGTGTGATGGCTCTGATAGTATCCTCCTTCATCAATTTCATTATGCTTTCACTAAATACTTGACCCGACGTTAACACTGCACTCCATCTTTCACCTCTTGTTGCGAAAAGTGATGCCAACCTATAATATGTTGATCTCACCAAAGCGGTGATTGGAAGGTTTCTAATTCCTTTGAATACCCCGTTGATGGACTCCATAAGATTTGTTGTCATGTGCTCCCAACGAAATCCACCATCAAACGCCTTTTTCCACTTTTCGAGCGGAATGTTATCCAACCAGGTTCATGCATCTGCATTTGACATCCTAATTTTGTTAAGGTAGTATTGAAATGTTGATTGAGTTGGTGTCACCCTTTTTCGTAAAAAAATTTCAAATTCTAAAGGGCCTCTAGATGAATTGGCGACACCCTTTTAAGTACATAACCAAGTCGCCAATTGGATTAGAGACTGCATAAGGTGTTTCCAATCCAATTAGAGACACCTTTAAGCCCTTAACAAAGGGTCGCAAATTGGAATGACACCCTTGTGTAAGCCCAAACCCTAATTGGTGTACTTTGAAAATAATTTTGAGAAGTGGGATATTTTGGGATTTTTTTTTAAAAAAATGAGTTATTTGGGTAAAAGAATTCACATTTTGTACATTTTTATGTTTAATGCATTTTCACTTTTTTCGCCTTTTTTAAAATTAAAAAAAAAAAGAAAAACATTCTAATGAGAAATATCTACATAACTTATCTTTTATGTGAATTAAAAAATAAATATTAAGCGGAGATGAAAAACAATTAACAAGTCCCCCTCATCAATTCATCACCAATTTTGATTCCTGAGCGAAACAACGAAACAAGAACGGTGTCTGTGGATACCTGAAATTTTTATAGTTGATGATGTTGATTTTTTGCCCAGATTTCTGTCTTGGACCGAGTCTTTACTCAAATCCTTTTTATTGCTCTCCCCAACCGTAGATGAAGGTTGATCCTTCATTTTTTTATTTCGCCTTTCAGAAGACAAATATCTTTGCATCGACACGTCACCTTGGTCAATCTAGGTCAACTGAACCTGCGTCGTGGGGGAAGTTCCAGCAGCCTCCTGTGTTGTAGTAGGAGTGGCAGTGGGAGGAGGTTCATTTGTCATGATAGGTTTTTTCTTCATAAAGAGGCTTTTGATAGACATCATATTATCTGTAAAGAGAAAGAATAGGGCTAGCAATGAATTAAAAGAACAACAAAGAAAATTACAAAGATAAATTTTCTCTCTTAACCAAATTAAGAGCTCTTTCCTCTCCTGAGTAGTGGATGCGTCCACAATCGCCTGAGTATTAATAAATTGCCTCCTTTACAAGGCATGCCCTACATCTAAGGGTACAACGCCTTCCTTGAAGCCCAACAGCTCTTAAAAGACTATTAGATCATCTTTTGCTGATTCTTCTTCTAAAGTAAGAGATTCGTAATGTATAGTGCAGGCGTTCGATTCTCGGTCAAAGTGGTTTCAGATCCGTCAATTTTTATGCTATCTATACACCTCGATGGCTTTAAACCAAAGTGGTCGATCGGGGTAGGCTCTCCCTCAATAAAGACTGGGCGCCAGAAGTCTTTGGGGTCACAAAGAAGTGAGGATCCTTTAAGTGTTTCTAAATTTCAAGGTAAAGGCCAAACACATTGACTTGTTGTCATAGGGAAATCAAAATTTGTCCCCGGATAAGGTCCATGCTACATGGTGCATTTGAAATGGGGCTCATGTTTTTTTCTTCTAATTATTCCTATTGAAGGGTTAGTCCAACATATGCCACCACTAGATTACTACATTATCATTAGATATCGCCTCATGTACTTGATAATAGTATAATATATGTGACAACCCCTAATGGATAAGGGTGGTCAGAGACTTTAAGACTGTTGGAGGGTATTGAGAGCTAGATCACGTGAGGTGAGAAATTACTATGCAGGTATACTTCTTGGTGTTATTGATTATTCTCTAGTATAACTATAGTTTAGCAACCACTCTAATTGTGGTTGGTTGATTCTAAAATTGATACTATTGGTGGAAGTGATAATGACTCCTTTTTTCCTTCTACTTTCCTAGAAATTGGGACGATCATAGCTATTTCTAACCCTGAGCCCAAAGATGTGAGAGTATATGGGTCCACATTCATCATCGATGACCATCTAACCTCCATATGTCAACAACTTACTTTTTCTTCTTCTGGTGATGAAGAACAAGTTATTATGGAGGCATGCTCTCTGGAGGAGAAGACACGTACGGTCACTTTTGGTGCCTCATATACTTCCTAAGTTTACTTTTATCTGCCTATCATCCATGAGGTTGGGTTTTGCCTCCTCTTTTCTTCCTTTGTCATAGAGGTTTTCACGACACTCAATGTGGCTCCTTTCCACATCACTCATAATGGTTGGAGCCTAATCAAGGCCTTTGAAATCATATGTCGGCATCTAGGGGTCGACCCAACCATCAAAATGTTCTTCTCCTTTTACTGTACTAAGATGCATATGCCTTGTGGTGGGTAACACTGGTCGGCCTTCTTGGGAGATTTTTATTTAAACCTCACTCTAACCACTTTAAAGGTTACATGGAAAGGTTTGTATGAATGAGGGGAAAAGGTAAATCTTCCTTATTCAATACTGAGGTGGATCGTGTATCCTAGTTTCCTTTTTCCTAGACCGATAACCCACGACGACCAATGGGCACGATTATGATTTACTAATTATGAGGCTGAAGTGGTGTAAACTTTGGATGGTTAAAAGGTTATGGAGTCATGTGTCGTAATTACTTTGGATCAGGGGGGTGAGGAGTCTCTAAAGAATATATAAGTGAGTCTAAATGATGACAACTAGGAATTCTTTGTGGTGTGATTACACCTTTGATGTCACCAAGTTCACGAGCGCTTGGCTCTTTTTCCTCAAAGAAATATCGGTGGATTACAAGGCAATATCCAACCACTTTCCTCGAAGTGTTCTAACCTCAAGGAGATTAATTTAATGAGGTTCCCCCTCATGGAATACATTAATATGAAGGAATGTGCAAAGGAAAATAAGGAGTAAAAAGAAAATTTGTCTAAGTACAAAGGAGATATGGCTAAAGGGCATACTTTAATTGAGACTTTGTAGGAAAATAAGGTGATATTATCACTAAAACATTTAGAGGCAGATTCTAAGTTCAAGGAGCTCGCTACTAGAGAACATGAACTGCGAGTATCCCTAAGAAAAATCTCATCACTCATAATAGATTGAGGGATGAGGTATTTATGATGAAAGATGATTTAGCGGAGACCTCTGATATCTACTTTGACTGGAAAAAAGAGCATGTAACCTTTCTTTAATTTGGGTTGGACATAAGCCTCATGGACATTTTTAAGGTCATCCATGATGACAAGTTAATAGATGTTTTAGATATCTCTCAACCTTATGGACCTGTCACCTCGCATTCCCTAGATAGTCAAGCTGATCTTGAGGGAGACAAGTCGATGGAGGGTGCTACCTTGGGGTTTACTTACATCGGGGACGCTCCTGAAGATAAGGTTGTTCCTAAAGAGGGTCATTAACCTGTAGACTTTTGTCCTCTTTTTATTATTTTACTCTGGTCTTTATAGATGTGCCATTGGAAATTATCCTAAAATATTTTTTATATAACTTTGAATGTCTCCCTTAAGGACTTCCTCGTACTATGTTTTTTGTTCTTTTTCTATGATTCATTCATGGTTAATATTTTATTTCCTATGCCTACTCATCATACACTGAGGGGTTTTAGGTTCCACCTAAGGGTTAGTATCTCACATGAATTTCGGCGCGAGGATTCCCTCATGAGGATCCAACATGTTTGATAGCCTTTAGAGATGGCAAGGACTCACACATAGGTATCCAACATGTTTAATATCCTTAATTGGCGTCAAAAACTCCCTCGTAGAGATCCAACATGCTTAATAGCCTTAAGAGACAACAAGGAGTCCCACGTAGGGATACAACATGTTTAATAGCCTAAGAGGCGACAAGAACTCCCACGTAGGGATCTACCATGTTCAGTATCCTTAAGAGGCTGCAAGGACTCCTAGATAGGGATCCAACATGTTTAATAGTCTTAAGAGGCGAAAAAGAATCCCATGTAGGGATCCAGAATGTTCAATATCCTTAAGAGTTAGAAAGTACTCCCATGTAGGGATAATGAATCCCATGTAGGTGTCCAACGTGTTCAATAACCTTAAAATGCAGAAAGTACTCTCACAAAGAGATCCATCATGTTTAATAGCCTTAAGAGGTGGCAATGACTCCCACATATGGGTCCAAGATGTTTTAAGAGGTGATATTGACTGCGCTCATTTGCTTTTGAAGTCTTGCAAGTAAACTAGCAACAATCAAACAATCATATAAATAAATATAGGGCCTTATTAAAACCGAGCGTTGAATTAACAAAGCCAAAAAAGAGAGCCCTTATTAATATCCTAATAAACATGGCCGGGAGTATAATTCGCCCAAAACAAATAATCCTTAAACAAATATACTAAAGGATTGTCTTCGCCCCCAACGATCATATCACCTTTGTGCATACTTGGAGATCTCTACCTCATAATTTATGAGAATCTCCCTGCAGAAACTTTCTCCAGTGGCTCTATCTTTGTCTTGATACTCACGCTACTTATGCCTACTATTCGGATTGTCTTTAACTTTAATCTTTCCACATAGTATTTTCTAGAGGTCTCTTGATTTCCATGGATAATTCCTACCCGCCCATTTGGGAGTGGGTACTTCACGCATAGATATAAGATGGATAAGACGGCTCCTAATTAGTTAAAAGCAGGCATCCATATGATCATATTATACAATTAGGGTGTATCAATGAATAAATACCTTACCTTGATCTCTCTAGAATTTTCTCTTGCTTCAAAGGTAGTATTCAACGTTACGTAGCCCTTTACCTTTAACGGTTCACCCAAAAAACTACCAACAATCCTCATAAGGGTTTTAGATTCTCCATATTCAAATAGAGCCTCTTAAATGCGTCTCAATAGAGGATGTCCACTGATCTCCACTAGTCAATCAAGACTCTTTTGATCTGCCAATCATTGCAATGAACGATGATGACCATGGGCTTGTCGTTGTAAGGGTGAATCATGGAAGCATCCTTCCATGAAAAGGTGATCTTGGCCCATGGAGCTTCTGATCATGGAGGCATCCTTTGTGGGTTATCACTACCTCAGACAATGTTCA